TCCTGCTAGGTATCCAGTAGTTGGTAGATTTAGGGTTTGCAATTTCTAGGAGATCTGTAAATGATTGCTTTGACCTGAAAAGGTTCTCATGGAGAGGGGCACGCAATAGTGTAGCGGATTGATGAGCTGGGTACAGCATCGTCGGGAGAATCACGTTGGGAGTGTATTTGGTCGCTGGGAGAGGACAAAACTCTAGAGATAAGAATGCTGAGTTGTGGACAAAAGTCGTGCACCAGGTGGGAGTCGAACAGAATCTCTAGAGATATTTGTCTAACTAGGGAAGATGCAGAGGAGGTTCAGTGCAATCACAAAGCTACGATCCCAGGGCTCTATAATGCGATTTCCCGTTTCTAAAATATTTCACTTCAAATAATGTTACTGTTGTATAAAAAGGGGTATCTGCCGCTCAAGAAAGGGTGCTTCACCACAATGGTAGTATTAGGCGCAAAGTTCAAAGTCAGCCATACCGAGGAAAGGGATCGTACCGCGACCATTCAGTAGGGGGTTCTACTAATACTTGGAGAGCAATACTAGTCCTTTGTTTTACCAGTTAGCGATGTTAAACTACATACCCGTTCCCATCGCTTTCAGCTTTCCCTTAATTAATTTACTGATTTAAAAAAAGTAGATAAAATATTTCACTCGCTCGATTCTATCCCTGTGATCAGACAGTTGAGTCTTATTTTACAGATCGTTACGATGACGAGCCTTCTACGTCTTTCCGGGAAGACCCTTTACACAGTATTGGTCCATCGTCGGCTGGTCAATCAATGGATGCCCCTCAACCAAACGTTCAACCTGTTCATCCTATGGTATTACCGCCACAGTCACATATGCCACTGGATGGAACGCAACACCGTCCTGCTCTTGTGGCAAATCGAGGCCCGTCTTCGTTATCGCGACAAGCACAGGATTACGCTGTCGCCAATATGCTGGTGGATTATAGGTGCGATCTATTTTTCGAAGAGGCTTCTAGTAAGTGTAGTACTGCATTTTGAGTACATGTTTTAGTAACCAAGCCGCATCATCTACTCATATGCCAACACGGCAGTCGTCCTCCATTACTTCTCAGATGTTGATGATGTCGTCAACACACGTCGCTCAACCACAATATTCAACTGCATCTGGCTACAACACTGCGCCACAAATTCCGAATAATCCGCGGTCCAATAATATGCAGTGGAAAGGCACCAACTTCTTGGTAATTCTTCATTGAAATTTTGTTCAGTTACGCCAGAATTTTTGCACAAAGTTGCAGTATTGGTTTTTTTAAAATTTTATTTTGCAGTCAAGAGCGCTAAGTCGCTCGTATGGAGTTGTTCACGTAAATATAGTGCTAGCTAGGTGAAATCTAACGGATGCAGTGCTCTATCCTGGAGACAGGGCACGCCATCTTTGTGATCATCACAACGGGGGGGGTCGTATTTGCCCGCGATGGAGGGGGGGGGTCGTAAACGCATGGCCCATGTTGAAGTGGAGAGAGCGGTGATACACGGTACAAGTGAAAAGAAGCTCAAAAGGGACGATGTAGATGACAATAAATAGAACTAGGCACTATCGAACTATTCCTAGGCCAAGAACTAAAAAAAATATTGCTGAAACTTTTTCCTCCTTCCTCACAAAAAAAACTTCAAGACACTTCGCCCACCAACCCTCCTCATCTGGTCTAGATAAATCCCAATCCACTAATCCGCAAAATCTAGAAAAGAATCCATTGCAAAAGCTACCTATGAAACCGTAGAAATTGAATCCTGAGCAATTTCCTCACAACAAAATCAAACTCAACAAAACAAAATCAAACTCAACAAAAACAAACAATCAAAATAATTCACAATCAAATGGATAAGAAAAAACTCACCAGGCCAGCTGGGAACCGGAACTATGGATTACTTTTGAATTTTGGCTGTTCGCGGTCAGCGCGCTCATACAAGCTCATTGGTGCGCGCTATTTTACGGCCTGGAGCCAATTTCAAGCCAAACACGTGAAAAGTACCCCTCATTTGAACACCCATAACTTCGTTGAAAGTGAAGCTATCGGAGAGGGGTAAGTGGGAATGAGTAGAGCTAGGTTGGCTCTTGTCACCTGAATTGAGCGATTTCAAAAACGTTCCGATTCCAGAGATTTTCCCCGTTGTGATCATCGTTGTGATCCGTCTGTGATCATTTTTGCGAACCGCGAGTCGCTACGCTTTGGACGTCCATGGCAAGCTTCATACACGGCCTTTCGTAAAAAAAAGAATTGTGCCGGAAGCTTGAAGATTTCTACTTTCCAGCAAGGCTTTAATTTTCTTCCTAGGCCTGCTATTCGAAAAAATTCCCCGTTGTGATCATTTCGTGCTCACCCCCCACGACACGAAAAATCAACCCCTCCGAGGCCAGGAAACCTCCAGTTGGCTTGAAGACTTTGGTATGCTTCTGAAACACATGTTTCCGCAAAGGGTATTGAAGAATAGTCTAATGGGCGCCAATTGGCATCACCTGTGCAATGCGCCATGCATGGGGCTTTCACGCAGGTTTTGGAAAGGTGTAACTTCTAGATAGGGCTTCCCAATTGCAAGCAAATGTGCTCCTACGATCAGAAAAGTCCGGGAATGTACTTTCATCTGTTTATTAATCGTCACGTCGTGAGTCCTCTTGTTTGTTTATAAATTC